GCAGTCTTTGTAAAACCCGATGCGGTTCGCCATCGCTGAAACCAAATTGCTTTTTAAATATAGTGGGTTTATGTGTCATAACATATGTTCTTCGTGTGGTTTTAGAAGATTGCTAGTGCATAGCTTTTTGTGGACCTGATGCAAAAGTAAGCTGTGTGGCATTCAGAAATGAATTGAGAATGACTTTTTAAAATTTAAATTATGAATTTGAAGCTTCAAATAGGATGCAGAATGCAGTGGAATGAAACTCAAAGAAATTCATACACGTTTACACACACAACAAATTGAATAGTTCCTTAAAAAGAAAATGTATGATTTTTATAATAAACACAGCTGTATTTAATTTATATATTTATGTATATGTACTTACAATTAATACAATACAAATACAATACATTGCATGTATTTTTAAAATATAATTTATTTCATTATAATCAATGAAGTTAGAAGTCTAAGCATGTCTAATTTTACAAAAGTATTAAAACATATCAGAGTATAATTCGTTTAATTATTACTAATTTAATTATGCATTTAAAAAAAAAAGTTTGAATTGCTTTTAATTGAAATTGATATTCAGCATTCCTCTTCCTGTTCCTTCGTAAAATTACGGTTTAACCCCTGATGTCACACGGATTATTTTACCGATCTCCTTGCTACGTTTTTGGACTTGGGAACATTTCAGTTGCGTTGCTGTCTATGCAAGGTCAGACAGCTCTCAAATTCCATCAAAAATATCTTAATTTGTGTTCCGAAGATGAACGAAGGTCTTACGGGTTTGAAACGACATGAGGGTGAGTAATTAATGACAGAATTTTCATTTTTGGGTGAACTATCCCTTTAAGTGCTATGTTACAGAAGTTCTTCAAATAGTGTCTATTCCAAGTCTAAGTTCACTTTTTAACCTCGCCAGCCCACCTCAACAGTTCATTCAAAAAAGTACTAGATACGACCATAAATAAGGTCCCTTTGTGACCACCACTGAGTATAGGGTTATATTCTATACATACTGAAGTAATGGACTTGACGCTTCCTTAGGTCTAGAATGCTTGCCCAAACAAAATGGCATTCCTGAGTAAGAGTGAATGAACTACTGTGAGATTTGACATCTACAACCCAGCTTTGAATAACTCTGAGGGCCCTGGGGTGAGTTTCCAACCACTGCTAAACACGAAGGAAAGAGCCATTACCACATAGTGTGTTTGTGATCAAGGATGTAAGAACAGTTTGAAATGTGAGGGTATATTTGTAGAGATTTGCTGCTGCCCAGTTTGTGATCCACTTTGTTAGGTGTTAGACTGAAATTTGACCTCTAGAGCCATGAACAATAAACTAAAGGCATTTGAACATGGTTTAGTTTACACTTAAACCACTTAAATTACGCTATAAAAAGAAGTATAAATCCGCAATAGTCAACAAGCTGTATATGATTTCTTAAGCTTCCAGCACAGGCTTTTTAAATGCTTAATGGCATCCCAACAAAGGTCTAGGCATTTATGAACCTGTGCCCATAGCTATTTCAAACTTGTGTATGCTGATTATGTCTATTTATTCACATAAAGTTAGCAGCAGTGCCCTGTCTGACTTCCGTGCACAATGTGGACATTACAGATGTAGACGCTCTTAAAATGGAAGCGATATTTAACCAGTATTCATTCTGGTATACCCTCCATGGTTGACCACAGTGAAAATAACCAGCTTACAATTCCAGAATGACAGTCCTGCCACTGTCTAGAAATTTTTACCACATAGAGTCTTCTCAAACGTACAATTTAAGTATTTTCGATTGTTTCTCATGTTCACTCCCCAGGTTGAGGGAATGTGTTCTGTGGGAGTTCTTTATTGAACACAGAGCACAGGTTGTATGTTGAGTGACTGAGCTCTCGGTGCGCTCTGGCCCTGAGCTGAGACAGAAAGAGCCCTTTATACTCCTTCAGGCTCTGTGTGTTTAGACCCTGATGGACAGAAGCTAGTGGCTGCTAGTGTGTGCCTGTGAAGAGTTCTTCCCTTACGGTTCCACTTAAGTTCAAATACTCATGCTGAAGGGAAACTAAAACTAGTCATATTTAAATTGCCAATGTATTGTACTGTAAAACAATCATTGTCAAAATCACCTGGTAATTTCCCACTGCTTCAGAAGAGGGGTTCAAAAGTGATTTTATTTCTCCTTTAGATCAGTATAAAAATATAGGATATTATAATATTTAATATTATTTAAAATAAAGTTATTGTGAAATTTACTAGCAATTTCTGATTGTGTGTGTTTGTGTGTGTGTGTGTGTGTACCTGGTATTTATCACGTTATGGGGACCAAATGTCCCCACAAGGAAAGTAATACCAGTAAATTTTCACGTTGTGGGAACTTTTTTTTTGGTCCCCATTAGGAAAAATGTGTGTGTGTGTGTGTGTGTGTGTGTTTGTGTGTGTGTGTGTGTGTGTGTGTGTGTGCGTGTGTGTGAAACAATTTTCACTCAGAAATGTAGTTTTTTTACAACTCTGGATTTACTACAAATTTTTATTTACTACTTAAAATAGCTAATTTTATTTTAGTACTTAAACTAAACTTGCATAGTTGCCTTGACAACTAGTTAAAATAATAAAATATTTTGTTATATTTTATTGCAGTTACCATTTATTTTATTATATTTATAATATTTATTTTACATAATAATAAAAAAAGATTTATTGTGTTCTAGTTTTAATTAATGATAATAGTTGGTTCAGAGGTCACCCGTGAACAGCCCTCAAACTGAACTGAGACGGAGTTTTCTTTTTTACTGTTGTGAAGAGTGAGTGTTGTAAGGACTGAGCCAAGTCATGTATCAAATTAATGCAAACACGGTAAAAAAAAAGTGTTCTTTTAACAGTCTTGCTCAAAGCATGCATAACTCCATCAGCTTACTTGACAGGAATCTGTATTGTAAATGAAAACTTGTTTTGCACACAACACATGTTCTTGGCAACGAGGATCACTTTTTATGTTTTTATTTATTAATTTATGGAATTATGATAGCAATTATCCACCGAGGTTACACCAGAGTGCTGCATGATAAATATATACGTATATAAGATGCTAATTTGTTATATCAGAGCCATGTAACTGTCAGAATGTGTTTTGACCTTTGATCTCTGACAGCATCCATCAGCAGTGTGAAAGGTGAGTGACAATTACTGCAAAGAATTTAGGAATGCACTGCATCATAATCAATAAGAGACAAAATGTAATCACTTGCATGCAACTCTAGTCATTCACACACTACAGACTTTTAGAAAACATAAATATTTTTTTAGGAGTTGGAAAATCATTTTGTCACCAAATCAAACCATGTAATCATGATCACAGGCACTGCTGCATGCAAAGAATCTTATCTTAGAATCTGAAGATCTACTGTGCATGTTTCTGCAGACAGTTCACTGAGTGCAATTCCAACTTGCCCTGAGGTGATGACATAATGCTTTTTTATTATGATGATGATGATGAATTATCTCACTGATTTTGTGCGAATCATCTTATTTGTTTTGGATTTTAGTGCATGCAAACGCCACAGTCTTGTTTCATTTCACTTTTATTAATTGATCCATTTAATCATTCAATCATTCATTATTCGTAAAGAAGAGATGTAACTTTGGCTTGCTAACAAAAATGGAGCTAACGAGATAATTTCTGGCATGAATCATGAGCTGGTTACTTGCCATTTGTTCTCAAAGCTGATTGTTCATTTCATTCATAGCTGATAAACTAATTAGCGTGTATGATTAATTTGCTAGTTCATAAATTACATAACGTTGAACAATTCCATTTCAAACAAACATGCCATTCAGTATTAGCATGGCAAATTTGAATTTGAAATGATCGTGGGATTTTTATTGATCACATCTGACAGAGAAATTTCCTGTAAAAGAAAGAGATGCCAGTTTTCCAACAACTGAAAGAATTCTGGTGCATGTTAAAAGAAGTATACAATAATTTTATTCATAATTGTGTTTGTTTGATTCTGATTTTTAGTCATTATGGGATTAATTAACTTAGCTGCCTTTGGATTCCAGAGAGTGGAGGGATCAAACTGGGAAACGTGAAGGCCTGTCAGTCTTTCTTAGCCCCTCACACTCAACCTCCACATGCACTCTTGAAGAATAAACATCTGCAAAACATAAGGTGTTTTCGTTTGATTACATTCTTGTTTTTTATATTTTCCCCTGCTTATTGACATTCAAAACCAAGATATTTTGTATTTATAAGTAGGTTCTACGCAAATTAAAAACAAAACTTATTGATGGAATGATCCGGAAATATTATTACATGGCGCTCTGGAATACTTGATTCTGATTGGTCAGTCGCTGCAATAAACGGTCAAATATTTCTGAATAATGGCCGTTGTCCTGGGAAACTCTGTATAACTGATCGCTCATCCAGGATCCCATGTTCGTGTCCAGTCTCTCTTTAAAAAGCCAGGAACTGGAAAATGTGCTGTTTTTCCATCATTATCAGCATAATAATAATAATAAATAAAAATTGACCTGTTCGCCATTTTGGAGGTTATTGGGATAATGTCGCCTAAACAAAAGACAAAACTATGTGGGTATAAACATTAAAGTTATAATACAATTTTCCACTGTTTTGTTGGTGATGCAAATATGCATAGCATACCCTAATCATTTGGGATTGCTTGCATGCTCTCTCTCTCTCTCTCTCTCTCTTTCTCTCTCTCTCTCTCTCTCTCTCTCTCTCTCGCTCTCATTCCCAGGATACTCCAGGGCAAATTCTACCGGCATTCATGGGGGGACGCGCAAGAGGGCAACCAGGGGAGGCTTTGGAAACTGATGGGTGGATCACTAGCCAACTTTCAAGCCCCGTGATTTGCTAATCGGGGTATTTTTCCCTTGTCATTTTCCTGTAATCCAGGGTCTGGGTCCAGCCCTCTTGACGGTGAGGCGATCGAGCGCTCCGCGTCTCATTTAGATTAAAACCCGAATCCCTTCAGTCTGAAGGCTGGGTGCAAGGAAAGGAGGATCGAAGGGGGCCCGGCCAGACAAAATACCCCTCACCTATGGCTGTTTAGAGCAGATCGGGCACATTTGGGATTGTAGAAGGGACATCATTTTCAAATAAACAGAGGTCGCCTTGTGCACATTTGTGGGCGCCCGACCATGGAGAGGCCAAGGTGGTCCCCAATGTGGAAAACGAAAAGGTGGCTTTTGGATTCTACTGTTTTCAAATTCATCACAGTTTCCCTCGTCCTGGTTCTGCAGGCTCCAAATGTCAGAGCAGGTAAGGAAAGATAGACTTCCGAACTTTTGATGAAGTTGTAGGGACTGTCAGACAGGAGATGCGCATTTGCGCCTGCGGATTTTTACGCGTTTGATTTAGACAGGTGATCGCAGATCTGTATCCCGTATATGTGTGTGTGCTGCGAGATACAATATTACTAGCGCCCAAATATGTATTTAACATCATAATATTAAAATGAAGAAGAGTATGTGGAGTTCTTTAAAAAATAAACCCACTATTTCCCCAACATATAGTTCAGTATACATTTAATAATGCAAATTTATGTCACATATAACAGATAAAGATAAATCAGGCTTTGCATATCTACAGTATCTGCATAACATGATCACAATGTTATACAAAAAATAATGTACTTTGAAGCAGTTAGTAGTGAAAGTATGCACTTATTTACCAACAGACTTTGCGCACGGCTTGGTTGCTCGCCCTCTGTCCATTTAATTTGCATATACTTTTATAAAAAAAAAAAAACATGCAATTTTATTTTGTTTATGCATATTTTCTACTCTAATACAATCTATTGGAGGGTGGGCAGGAGGAATGTGTCAAGAGAGTGTCATGGAGAGACAGTTTATGATTAATTTCGGGGGGAAAAAGCTCTTTGTTTGAACCTGTGGTCCGTTAGGTGTGTGTGGACACGGTTAGCAGGGTGGAATTCCTCAGGGTTTTACATCCATGCCTTACATTTAGGAAAAGAAAATCGAAAAATATCTGCTTAAATAGTGTGATTCTAGGGATGCAATTGTGAGCCAAAGTATGTGTATTCAAAGAGAGATAAATTAATAAGGAGATTGTCAGTAATTGATGTATGCTCATAAGACTTAAGTGTTCTGGCCACATTTGTGGGATTGTTCTGTTTTAAATATTAAAATCTTTAATTATGATAGGAATTTGATTTAGTAATGAGACCTGGGAGGTCCAATTAACAATGGGCGTGACTGATCGACTGATCATAAGTGCAACAAGTAATTTGATTATGAATACATATACAGTATATGTTTTCTTCTTCTTCTAAATTTACATATCATATAGATTTTTTAGCATTTTTTGTGTCAAAGCACTTTAGCACTGCAATAGAGGTTTCCACCAGGTACTGAATTAGCGTAGATCACAGTGGGTTACAGTCAAAATCACCCTTTCCCCATTCACCCCTAGTTCCACCATAGCCCAAGCAGGGGCTTTTGCAACACTGTGACTCCCATGTCTCCCAGTCCTCATGATGAGTTTCCCAGTGGGAATGCTTCTTTACTAAGTGCCTTCCCGTTATTTGATGACTGTCCTCTCTGCTCATCCCTATTATTTTGGAGGCTTCAAAGGGCCCGGAGCCATACAGGGGGCCCCAGCCTGGTCTTATGATAGGTCTCGCTCATCCTTACAGGAACAAAGGTCCTTGCAAAATTGAATGAGGCATTTATGTTGTTCAGAAATTACAGATGTAAATAAGATAATATATTGTCGTTGTTCTTATTTGCCACATTTCCCAAGGCTGCTTGAATATAACTAAAATGTGTGAGCGATACGGACTTAATAACCCACTTTTGTCTATCAAAGCTGATAATTAATCTTAAAATGTATTAATGCCATTTGACTTCTGAAGCTACGCGTTACATCCCTTGCGGTTTGTGGCATGTGAAGGCATTTCTGTCGGGTGCCCTCTTGAGCTGGCAGTGTACTGACATGTTTTCTCAGCCCCTGGGGCTGAGGAACCTCAGATGTGCATTCCTTCAGACAATGCACACATTTCAGCCATCTTTGCTTACTCTTATGGTAGACAGTGCCGATCAGGTCTCAAGAACATTTAGGCTACATTCACGAGTCATGCCTTTGTGACAAAACTCTATGCATGTTTGTTGGCTAGAAACGTGGTTCAGTTCAGAAATGTTAATTGCTTGCAGTTCGACCAAAAAAAGTTCCAGAACAGTCCATCATAATTTGCTTAATCTCATGTTGTTCAAAACCTGTATGAATTTTTTGTTTTTCGTGGAACACAAAAGGAGATATTTATATTTTTTGTGAAAGCCCCAGCTGCTCTTTTCCATACAATAAAAGTGAATGACAGTGTTCCATGTGCATAAATTTAGTCTTTATATTAAGACTGTATTAAGAACTAGTCTGACTAACTAGCAGATTCAAATTAGACCAATCTATGTTTTATGTAACTGACTTAAAGTTATGAGAAAAGAAAGTATGCAACCTGTCACTGTCTGGTCCTTGTCCACTTTCATTCTGCTTCCTTAAGGGTTCCACGCAAGAAAACGTGTTTGGAGCAACATGTGGGAGACCAAGTGTAACAAAATGTTCATTTTTGGCTGAACTGTCCATACTGGAATATGAGGTGAACTGAACAGTATTCTTGGGAAGCAGATGGTTGAAAGGCTTTATTGTTCTTTGATGTTTCTCTACAGTCGTGAAAGGGGGGGAAAGACATGGGGAAAAAGTTTTTTGCAAAAAAATTCCATCAGTAAGGTTGCCTCACGGAGAGCCTGTGGCATAATGTGGTCTTGTTCAAGCAGCACGCATGTGTCAAAGAGGGGAGAGCGAGGGGACAAGGGGGAGAAAGAGAGAGATAGTGGATGAAAAAGAGAGAGAGAGAGAGACATTCTGACTGAATTCATTATTAGAGTCTCAAGGAGCAGCAGGTAAAAAGGTCTCCAGCTTTTTCCATTCAATATCACCCTAAAAAAAATTCTAAAATTATTCTGAATGTATTTCACTGGACCCAATGAAAGCGTATCCATCAGGACATCAGTTATTTTAATGCTACATTTGTGTCTTCCTCTTACCATAATAATAGAACTTTAATTATGGTAACAAAGCAAATAATAGAACTTCCTGTAGAAAAAGCCCCTCCCACTTGTGGGTCTTCCATAGAATCAAATAATGGCTGGTTTATGATCTTGATGATGTACAACTCTCTCCCTCTCAGTTAGTACCTCCTTCCACATTCACACCCGATGTCTAATCAACCTTCTCTCCCAAACACACACACACACACACACACACACACACACACCAGTCTGTCTAATGCAAAGCATGACAGTGAAAATGATCAGTGTGTGTGTTTGCACAGCAGTCTGGTTAAAATCACACCAGGTCATCAGCTGCGCTGTCCTAATTATGGCTCATTCTCAGTTGGTTTTCCAAAGGATTTAGGAGTATTGACATTTTTGTTTGGCACTTGCATGGCAAAAGGTCAGACTCAGGCTACAGCACCACATCTGGAATATATGAGACCTGAGGTTATGGAGAACGTCTCCAGAAGATCCCTCACAACAACTCTCCTCCTCAGCTCTGTCATTGTATTGGTTGAGGTTTTCCTTTTGTCTAGCTTGTATGTTCGGTGTAAAGCTCAGATTGAGTCTCTCAGATATGGTGGGGGATCATTTCATTCAGCACAAAAAAACGGCAAAAGAATGGTTTGTCGGCTTTGCTTTTTAAAGCTTTAAATGGGGTGGTAAATGTTTTCTCAGCAGCAGGAATGCCTCAGCGTCTTTATTACAGCATTTTAGACCTCCCTCAGATGAGTCCAGCCTTTTGTGACATAGCAGCCCTTTATTTTTGGTGGTTTCAGCATTCAGTTTTATGTGGTAGATGTCAAAGTCTACTCAAGTCCCAGAAGACACATATGGCACTGTTGGTAGACTCTGGATAACACCCAAGAGCCAAATATGTGCCATATATTCGCAGTGAATCACAAAGAAACTCTTCTCAATGGTGCTTTCTAAGGTTTTGAGTTCCAGGGTGATCCGGGGTGAACAGTGTTTGTCTTTCATCTTGCTTCGTTAACCATAGTGAAACCGTTTGTTCAAGTTTACTTAACCCAGCTGTTGCTGAAGTATCTTCCAAAGAGTTGAAGATGGAATCGGGTATTTTACAACAAGGGTCAGATCTCATAGGAATGAAGACCAGTGATTTGAGTTTGGTCATATAGCCAAGTAAAACAGATACTGGCCTCTTTTTTGTGGTTGTGGGACATAAAACAATGTTAAATTTGATACACTCTCTCTGGTCATTAAACTTACCGTCCACAACCTATTATATGGCTAACCAACTAGAGATACTTCATTAAGGTAATCATTAACTGAAATATAACCAGCAGAATCTTAAAAATTAAGAAGCTGTTTTATATTTGATCCTAGATTTGTTTTTGATATCATATCATAATTGCAGTATATAAATATTTTTTTATAATAGTAAATATCAAAAATATTTATATATGGTAAACAATAGTAAAATATCGTAAATATATAGTATTTAGATTATCCTAAATAAGTTTTGTTGAGTCTTCAAATGTTGCTTGCATATTTATTACTGTATATTAGTTATTGTTTATCTAGATGTAAGAAACTTTTGTCATTCTGTTGAAGTTTAACTTAAAAACATGAAAACACATTTCTCAATTTATCTACTTATTTTTTTTTTAAGTATTATAAGTATTATTATAAAAAAAGGTTTATCTGCTAAACAATGAATGCATTTCTTCTTATTTATTTATTAACTTTTGTAATATTTTTTCTACAGCAGAACCTGTGGATGTCCTAAAAGTATTAGAAATTCCCACTGTCCCAGAAGGAGTAAAGAAAACTTCAGGATTTTGCACAAACCGAAAAGCATCACAGCCGGACACAGCCTACAAATTAGGCAAGAATGCCCAGATCAGTGCCCCAACCAAGCAGCTTTTCCCAGGTAAGCTGAACCCCATGAACATGTCTCCACATCCTGCCTACGTTTAGCTGCGTTTAAATGTGCCCTTTGTTGTGGTTGCCAAGGCTTTTAACAGCAGATGCCATCCCTGATTGTGCAGGACCGTGTTTCACTCAGACGCTTGTATTGTTAAGCGACAGGAGAACTTGGATGAATCTCTTGACCACAGCGTGGCTTGTCTGCTGCGTTGCATAAGAAATGAACAGAAACTTTTAAAGCGATAGTTCACTCAAAAATGACAATTATATCATTTACACACCCTCATGTCATTCCAAATTACTTCGTGCAACACAAAAGAAGATGTTTTGCAGAATGTCAAAGCTGCTCTTTTATGTACAAATAAAATTAATCAATGAACCAATCAAACCCCAATAAAAATACCCCATACAACTTGTGTACCATATTCTAAGTCCTCTGAGTTTTTATGATAGGTTTGAGATGCATTTTGTAATCGGAAAGTGGTTATAATGTTGCAAATGTTTCTTTATATGGTTGAAAACAGATGCATGTTTATTAATGTATGTTAATATCTGTTTAGCATATATAATGACATATATCTGGGCCCGTATTTATCAAGCTTCTCAAAGTGCCATTTTTGTCTTAAGTGCTGAGAATTCATTACATTTACTCCTACTTTCAAACTTAAAGGGTTAGTTCACCCAAAAAAAAGAAATTAGGCTGTGTTTACTCACCCCAGAGTCATCCTAGGTGTATATGACTTTCTTCTTTCAGACAAATCCAGTCGGAGTTATATTAAAAATTGTCTTTGATCTTTCAAGCTGTTTAATGCCACTGCCATTTTAGTCTTAAGTGCTGAGAATTCATAAAATTTTCTCCTACTTTCAAACTTAAGTATAAAAGCAAGTTATCAAATTTCTTAAAGCTAAGAATCACTCTTACTCTCGCAGTTATTTAAGACAGCTCGAGAGGTTTCTCAAGTGGTTAGGAGTTGCCAGTAGGGGCTTGTGATGGCGCTGAGGAGACAGAGATGTGCGCGAATCTTTCAGGAGAGGAAGAATGTTCTTGAAATGTTTGACGATGAGCAGTTAATCAAACAGTTTCATTTCCTCAGTTATTCAAACAGAAAACGAGCAAAGAATATTTACATTACCAAAGAACATCATAACTGACTTAAGTCTAGCGCGAGTATTATGCTCTTTAAAAACACTCCCGTTATAATTAGTGAAGCTACCTACATTGTAACATGAATAAATCTCTTACCCCTTATTTACACTGCACACGTCTGCGGCGCGTTACGGCTCCGACACGGCCATCGGAGCTGATCACGGCTACTCACCAGCCGCGCCTAAATTTTAAACCCTAAATTGAAGGTTGTGATGACGATTCATTTCCTTACCATAATGTATTCTCTTGAAAATTATTTATTGTCAAAGGTGTGTTGAATGTAAACTCCTACTAGGAATTTAACCATTCAATGTGAATTTATCGGAGAATATTCTTAAATAACGAAATCTATTCAGTGATTGGTCCATGCGTATTTCGTCATCCAAAATCCCGTTTGTGGCGCAGCAAAGTGTCGTGAATCAACTCTAAGACTGACACTTAAGATTTAGTCCTACACTTCGCTTAAATTACGACTGAGATGCTTGATAACTAACTTTTAAGCGCTGCTTTGAGCCAAGAAGTTTTTTACACTTAAGTCAATTCTTAGCAGCGTTTTTGAGAGTAATTCTCAGAGGCTTGATAAATACAGGCTCTGGTGTTTATTATCAAGTTGTTTGCATAGCTCCTTTTTAGCTGGATATTAAAGGTCTGATAAATTACATCTGATAAAATATGCCTGTATTACGTCTGATAAATTGTATAAAATGTCAAATCATATTTTAATGTTTTTCTCATTTTGTGCCATTAATGGCCTTTTTAAAAAGTTAAACAATGCATATGCACTAATAAAGCAACTAATTAAAGAACTGCATGAATTAAACTGCTTTATTAAAGCAAGAAAATGCATTATGGATGACAAAGGAATCAGTTTAAATGTAATATAAAAATGTAAAAATAAATCACTTGTCAACCTGACAAATATGTAGAAAGATTTACAGTTTTTTCCAATTGCTAACATCCCTTTGTCCAATCTGTAGTCACATTTTCAAAACTCTATACACAATTAGCACAACATTCGTCTGTTGTGACCATACCATTAACACAATTTGTGTTGTTTTCACACAATTTTCAGTCAATTAACACGTTTCTAAAATGCTTAAATTTTCTTTTCATACAAGCTTACCCCATACCAAAATCATGGATCTTTCTTATCTTTTTTTTTTTACAAATGATTAAACACTGCATGTCAGAAATGAAGACCTAATGTTCCAAACTTTAAATATAAAGCCTCTACTTCTGCAACAACAGCAGCTCAAAAGTATTGAAAGATATCTCTATATATAAAATATTGTAACATCTGATAAGCATTATCAGTAACAAAAGTACTGATAACAAATCAGTAACAAATCACTGAAATATTTAGAAACAGCTGATTCCAGTCTCAGTTGGAGGAATAGTCAGGTGTTGATGCTCTTTCCATTGCATCAACAGAGTAAAATAGAGTTTTTTTTTTCTTTTTGTTGCAGAACAACACAAAGAATCAGAGAGAGAGAAAAAATAATGCCTGAGAGAGGAAGAGGAATAGTTGTAGGAGGGAGAGGAGTAGATTGATCTGAAAAAGTGAGAAGAATAGGTAGGAGAGAGGAGTAAGAATGTGTGCTGGACTGTGCATTTTTAAGTTTGTTTGTTTGTTTTTTCCCCTTACACATTTGGAACCTATGAAAGCTTATTTGTACCATGGAATATAAAGGGTAAAGGGTAATTGTAACTTTTTTATCTCACAGTTCTGACTTTTATTTCTTGCAATTGAGAATTTATCTCACAATTCTGATCAAGTCTGAATTGCAAGATGTAAACTTGCGATTCCAAGAATAGAAGCCCAAATTGTGAGATAAAAAGGTCAAAATTACAGTTTTTACTTTTTTATTCTGTGATGGAAACAAGCTTGCATAGTAACCAAAGGCCATGTATGTTGGCATTTTTGTTGATCACTGGCATCAGTTACCATGGGGGCACCATCCGCATCCAACCCCCACCCACTGGACTGCAATTTCAATCAAGGTTCCAATTGAATTTCTGCATAGGGGACCCTATTTTTTTCTATAATGGCTCATTCAATTTTAGACAGTATGTTGCCAAGAATGAACACATTCAACACTTAAAAATGTAAAATGGGTTTCAGTTGAAGGTAACTAAATTACAAAAAAACAATGGATGTTTATATTGTCTATACTGTATGCAGGCAGAACTGAAACATGACAAGTAATGCAGTTTTTGTAAAGTCATCAACTGTTTTTGATTTTGACTATGATTGACTATATGTTCCTATTGGATAGAAAAGTAGTGCTAATGTTTTGACCGAATGACTCGATTTTGAATCGGGTTTGCTGTGTTTTGATAGAGTTAGTATATGTAAAGGTATTCAGCATTTTGAAATGTAGAGTTTGTATTTATTTAACAAAATGTGGTTTTGGCCAGAAAATTTACTATTTGGCTAATTGTGTGATGTAGGTGTGTTGCTGTGTTAAGAGTTTAGAAAAAGTACTTTAAGTACTGGTAAACGCTTGTTAGCAATTGAAAAAAAAAATTAACTATTTGGCTAATTGTGTGATGTAGGTGTGTTGCTGTGTTAAGAGTTTAGAAAAAGTACTTTAAGTACTGGTAAACGCTTGTTAGCAATTGAAAAAAAACTGTAATTGTTCAATTCATGTATAAAAATTTAGTTAAATTAGTTAAAATAATAAATCACTTTTCGATTTGACACATATTTTTAAATATCCATATATTTTCATATGAAGATCACAGGAAAAAAATATATATACTGTGTGTGTGTGTGTGTGTGTGTGTGTGTGTCTGTGCATGTCTATGTGGTTTATGAGGACACAAATTTGTATAATAACATGGGTATGACATAGGTATTACAATGAGAAGGTAATTTATGAGGACATTTTGAGTGTCCCCATATTTCAAATTATACTCTAATAATTAATTTTTAAATGCAGTGTTTAATCACTGGCAAATTTATTTTCTATATAATTTTGCCCATTTTTTTTTTTATTAATACATTCATTCCTTTATTTTTAAGTGGCACTCCTAGTCCTCCATTATGTTTCCAGTTTCAACATTGCAATTAGCTATTTGGATGGACTTCAAAAACCCAAAGAAGCCTTCAGTGAGCTTGTTTTCTGTCTGTGCTGTTTTCTAGATGGTGTGTTTCCTGAAGACTTTTCCATCCTAACCACCATCAAGCCCAAAGCTGGAATCCAGTCCTTCCTTTTTTCCATCTACAGCGAGAAAGGCGTCCAGCAACTAGGCGTGGAGGTGGGCCGCTCACCTGTCTTCCTGTACGAGGATCAGACAGGCAAGCCTGCCCCGGAGGATTACCCCCTGTTCCGCTCCCTCAACCTAGCCGACGGAAAGTAAGTCACAAAGCAAGTTGAACGTACAGCAGCCTTTTTTTTTGGTTGTTTAGATCCATCCTCAGAGACAAAGACTGAGACTGACTCCAGACAGGGTTAGACAGAGGTCAGTCATCAGCAGGAAGTCATTTGTTGCCAGGCCCGAGTTTTAGACTGTAGTCCTGAGCGATCACATGTGTAGGAAGATATTTTTTTGTTTTAGAGTCATTTCGGTTGAAGAGAGTTAACAAGTAGACAAATGAGAATTTCAGGTGGCTATTGAGGCATTAGTTATGTGTGGTTTCTTCTGCGAGGCGAGCCAGAGGAGATCTCACTGTGACTCTGGATTGATGGAGTGAAGCAGACAGGACCGTAGGTGATCTGACCTCGGCAGTGATCTTTCAGAGTACTGTTATTTTAGAAAGATGGAAAGTTGGATCCATTGGGGCAGATGCATGACCACAGAAATTAACCTCTTGGGTAACATCATCAGGAAGCTCTTACCAACATTAAGATATATTTGTGGAAGTCTGTTTCGTGTCTAAAAATAAAAAAGGTAATTGTGAGAAATTTTCAAATAAGACAAAAAGTCACATTGTGAGATATGGAAGCACAGTTGCGAGAAAATCAGTCAAAATTTCAAGATAAAAAAATCACATAGTGAAATATAAAGTTAATGTTATGAGTCATGAAGTCACAATTATGAGAAGTAGTCACAGTTGTGAGAAATAAAGTCACAATTACAAGATAAAAAAGTCATATTGTGATATATAGTCACATTTATAACAAATAAAGTCACAATTACTAGATAAATGGTCACATTGTGAAATAAATAAAGTCACATTGTGAGATATAAAGACACAATTGTGAGAAATAAATTCACAATTACAAGAGAAAAAGTCATATTATGAGATATCAAGACATCAAGATATCAAAGTGAGAAACAAAGAAACAATTACTAGACAAAAAGCCACAATTTTAAATAGAAAATTACAGTTGTTAGAAATAAAGTAACATTTCTGAGATTAAAAAAAATCACATTATGATAAATAAAGTCACATTTGTGAGGAATATTATGACACAAAATTCTCATTATAAGATACAGAGTGACAGTTGTGAGAAATAGTCACAATTACAAGATAAAAAGTCACACTGAGACATAAATTCCAGTTTATGATAAATAAATGAACAATTACGACATAAATAAAGTCACAGTTGTGCGTCATAAAGTCAATAATGAGAAAGAAAGTCATCTGAGATACAAAGGTAAAGCCACAATTACAAGATAAAATCACATTATGAGATACAAAGTCAGTTGTGGGAAATAAAGTCACAATTACAAAAGAAATGGTCACATTTCAAGATATAAAGTTACAGTTGTAAGAAATAGTCACAATGAAGAAAAATCACAATTACGTTTTTTTTAAACATCCTTCCTTAGATAGCAGTGATTGTAGCAGGAAGTCATTTGTTGCCAGGCCCGAGTTTTAGACTGTAGTCCTGAGCGATCACATGTGTAGGAAGATATTTTTTTGTTTTAGAGTCATTTCGGTTGAAGAGAGTTAACAAGTAGACAAATGAGAATTTCAGGTGGCTATTGAGGCATTAGTTATGTGTGGTTTCTTCTGCGAGGCGAGCCAGAGGAGATCTCACTGTGACTCTGGATTGATGGAGTGAAGCAGACAGGACCGTAGGTGATCTGACCTCGGCAGTGATCTTTCAGAGTACTGTTATTTTAGAAAGATGGAAAGTTGGATCCATTGGGGCAGATGCATGACCACAGAAATTAACCTCTTGGGTAACATCATCAGGAAGCTCTTACCAACATTAAGATATATTTGTGGAAGTCTGTTTCGTGTCTAAAAATAAAAAAGGTAATTGTGAGAAATTTTCAAATAAGACAAAAAGTCACATTGTGAGATATGGAAGCACAGTTGCGAGAAAATCAGTCAAAATTTCAAGATAAAAAAATCACATAGTGAAATATAAAGTTAATGTTATGAGTCATGAAGTCACAATTATGAGAAGTAGTCACAGTTGTGAGAAATAAAGTCACAATTACAAGATAAAAAAGTCATATTGTGATATATAGTCACATTTATAACAAATAAAGTCACAATTACTAGATAAATGGTCACATTGTGAAATAAATAAAGTCACATTGTGAGATATAAAGACACAATTGTGAGAAATAAATTCACAATTACAAGAGAAAAAGTCATATTATGAGATATCAAGACATCAAGATATCAAAGTGAGAAACAAAGAAACAATTACTAGACAAAAAGCCACAATTTTAAATAGAAAATTACAGTTGTTAGAAATAAAGTAACATTTCTGAGATTAAAAAAAATCACATTATGATAAATAAAGTCACATTTGTGAGGAATATTATGACACAAAATTCTCATTATAAGATACAGAGTAACAGTTGTGAGAAATAGTCACAATTACAAGATAAAAAGTCACACTGAGACATAAAGTCCAGTTTATGATAAATAAATGAACAATTACGACATAAATAAAGTCACAGTTGTGCGTCATAAAGTCAATAATGAGAAAGAAAGTCATCTGAGATACAAAGGTAAAGCCACAATTACAAGATAAAATCACATTATGAGATACAAAGTCAGTTGTGGGAAATAAAGTCACAATTACAAAAGAAATGGTCACATTTCAAGATATAAAGTTACAGTTGTAAGAAATAGTCACAATGAAGAAAAATCACAATTACGTTTTTTTTAAACATCCTTCCTTAGATAGCAGTGATTGTATTAAAATGTACATTAAACATTTCAAATGTTCATTATTGTCCCGACACTCCTTCAGCCTTAACTTGACATCTTCAAATGCTAAAATTAATTGACAACAATGGACGTGCTTTGTCTTATTAGGTTTTAAGAGGCTTTATTGTTGGTATCAGTTCAGTGGGGTGTTTTGCTGTAAAAACAGCAATATTTCTGTGAGGGATTATGGTGCTTATGTTGATTATAATGCTGACGAAGATTTCAGGTTAAATGCACCTTAATTGGGCTAATACTGAAGAATTACGGTTAAAAGTGGCTTTTTAACAATCATTTGTATAGCTAAATAGATTAGCTATCACCATTTTAATATAACTTTCATATGCTTTTGTGGTTTATCTTCCTTAGAGACATAAGAATTAACGATAAATTGCTATTATGGTTGGTCATAATGATGATAATGTGATCTTGTTTAAAGAATCTGAAAAGCATTTGTGTTAAATTGTGTAAAATGTCTTGATCTCCCATATATTATTATAATCGGAAAATGCTACAATGTGTTGCCAACGTAATTTATGTAAATTGCGCATGAAAAGATGAATTATACCGCAGTATATCCTTAGGGAAAATGGGTAATTTTTAAGGTGAAAATGTGTGACTTTAAATCATTGCATTTGGCAAGTCCAGGTATTAACTAAAGTTCTAGAATTTCAGTCTGTCAAGTACAATATTGTGGTTTTACACCATCACACATCTATCAATCATTCACATAATCGCTCTTAACTATGTAAATTGTATTCTGTTAGCAGCTAAATTATCCAGAAATGTTGGTCTCTAGACACAGTAAAGCTTGTGTTGGTTCAAGTTTGCCGAGTACTTTAAAGGCACAAGCCAGAATAAAGATTTTTCTTTCTAATAAAGTGGATTATGGAAAATTGATCACCCTTGTGGGTGCCATTGATATGCCTTTGAAATCTCGCTGTGGCTTCTTACCACAAACCCGTCCAACATTTTTCCTCCCCAGCTCAATGTTTTGACTCCACAGTTGAGTTTCTCTGCCGTACCTTCCTGACACACACTTTCTACAATGTTCATGGTGTCTGTCATGCTGAATAACTCACAGGAGGGATTTGGTCTAGAGTTTAATGAGTTTAATCCAGTGTTAAACAAGGCCAAAGTTTGAAGGCTGGAATGTGGTCCACTCAGGAATGTTATGTCTCAAGAATGGAAGCAAATTGTCTAAGGTTTTAAAGAAAGGCACGTCTCACGTGTGGTGGCCTTTAACCGTTTGCTGGGTTTGTAATCACCTACACTTCCTGTTCATCGCAGGTGGCATCGTGTAGGCATCAGTGTTGAGAAGAAAACTGTTACCATCATTGTTGACTGCAAGAAGAAGCTGACAAAGACTTTGGGCAGGAGTGACCATGCTGGTATTGACACCAATGGTATAACCGTTTTTGGCACCAGGATCCTGGATGAGGAAGCGTTTGAGGTAAAGCTGTTTTCAATGCGTTAATGCACTACACTAGTATCTCTCTGAAGGCCTGATGGTATGAGCTGCTTGATCAAGTATAAATTGATGTGTATTTGATGTGTTTAACAGTATTAGAACAACATCTGTTCATTTGAGAACAGGAGAGCAAACCAGAGCTAAATTTATAATTAAGCTCCTGGGGTCTCCACATGCTTTGCCATTTAATGACAAATAAAACTAGCATGGAGCAGAAATAAACAGCCCTGTAAATACAAAAAAAATCAATTTTGTTCATCTAGTGGATTAAATGGCCTTGCATGCATGCAGACATCACATCTAAAGTATTTAACCCTCAGAAAACCACTTCAGCAAAAAGTGATAGTGAAAAATTTAAATTCTGATAAATTAAAACATAATTTACGCCTATCATTTAACCCTCGTGTTGTTCCAATTTTTTTTCTGTGCAACACAAAAGCAGATATTTTGAAGATTGTTGGTAATCGATTTCAGTTGCCATTGATTTCCATTGTATTTTTGTCCATATAATGGAAGTCAATGGGAACTGAAACTGTTTGGCTAGCATTCTTTAAAATATCTTCTTTTATGTTCCACAGAACAAAGAAAGGTTTGGAACGACATGAGGGTGAGTAAATGATGACAGAATTGTAATTTTTGGGTGGCCTGTCCTTTTAAATACCTATTTTTCACTTATAAGACAGCAACAGTGTTCCTGCTGAAAAAAAAAAAAGGTAAAACCAGCCCATGTTGGTTGGCTGGTCTTAGGTGGTTTAAGCTCATCAAGCTGGTCTTCCAGACTGACCAAGCTGGTGTTCAGCTTGATTTAGCTGGTTATTCAGCTGGTCTCTCAGCCTTACCTGCTAAAGAACTTGTCAAAAACCCCTCTAAAACCAGCCTGCTAAACCAGCTATGACCAGGAAGGAAGACCAGCTAAAACCATCCAACCAGCTTAGGTTGGTTTCATTTTTTTTTTTCAGCAGCAGGAATAGATTTACATTTCAAGTGTCCCAGCCTGCTAAAATCATGCTAAATGTGGTGATTGCCTATTGAAACCACTGTTCAGAATCGAAATTTGCAGTTTTGAAATTTGCAAACTATCTGGCCTAATGTCAAAAACTTTGCAATCTCATGAGTTTCTGGGGCATAAACAACTGTATACTTCAAACTATAAAATGAGAGGTTTTTGAGAGTTTATGGGATGCTATGTAAGCCTTTACATTGTTTGCCACAAGCTAGCTATTTGCTTTAGCATCCCATTCATTATTATAGTTCAATGAGAAAGATCTCCATGGCAATCTATCGTAAGCATCTTTTTATGTAACATTGTGGTATGTAGAGTCATTGTTCACTTTAGCCTAATGCATCTTTGTTGTTAATTTCCACTTTAGCAATACACAAACTTTGATGTAAGTTGTTTTAAAGTCTCTGAGTCTAAAATGTAACTTCTCCACATATTAAAGATGCAAAACTTCTTTAGATTTTACTAGTTTCGGAGATCATTTCCATAATGGCAAAGGTGAATATTTGTCCCTCTGGCCATGAGCTTACTCAGGATAACACAGACAAGCCTTGTGTCACTGTTTACCTTTAAGTGGTCGGGTTTTCCCCTCGCTTCCTGTTATGAAGGCTTCTTTCACCTTGTAATTAAAGCTACTCAAAGCCAGAGGAGTCCACTTCATCCACGGATTGCTCAGCCGAGCACGGGTTTGAAAAGTGTGGATAAATGAGCAAAATATGGATCATTTGACCAGCACAAATCCATTTTATTTAATGACCGGAAAGCATCAGGAAAAAAAGTGTAAACAACAAGTGTCTTGCACTGTACAAAAACAAGATTTCGCTAGGAGTGGCATATTTATTTCAGACGTGAACTCTGGGACAAGTATTAATTAGCAGACATGACAAATTACAGGGTTAAAGGAGAGTCAGCAGCCCTGCCATCACCTCGATTAGAGCAGAAAATTACTAATTAATGCAAATTATTAAAATATTTTCACAGTCATGACTGCATGTTATGATACTGTTATGATATGCTTAGCAACCTATTTCTGCATTTTTAATCATATCAACACCTCTCATGTTAAGCTAAATGTAGGTTTGACTGTTTTTGATGCAAATGTGTAGCTTGTGTATTTTACGTAACGTCTCGGTTACATATGTAACCCTCGTTCCCTGAAGGAGGGAACGGAGATGTCACGTCGGATGACCGACGAATTGGGATCTCGCTTAGAGAGACCAAACTACTTCGAGTATAACTAAACGAGCCAATGCACATAATTGCATCCAGCTGCCGCTGATCACAGCGTGAGTATAAGTAGGCAGCTGGTGCAGCGCATATTCAGGTTTTCACTGAGGAGTCGAGCCGGTGACCCGGCCGCTCAGCGGTAGTACAAAAGCTGTGGCGACGGGACATGATGTCTCTGTTCCCTCCTTCAGGGAACGAGGGTTACATATGTAACCGAGACGTTCCCTTTCAGTCGGTCACTCTCGACGTCACCGACGAATTGGGATCCTTACCAAAGGGCCACAGATACTGCCCCTTCCAGTGTCCTGTGGAAGCCGCCTGCCCCCCTTCTTTTTGGCGTAGGCCAGGGCTTACCACAAGAAGACCAGCTACTGCTGCGATGGCACTACCCACTCAGTAAGACTGGATAACACTGGGAAACGTACCCGTACCACTTGGGACAGGAACGTTGCGGAGCCCCATCCTTCCCGAAGGAGGTTTCGGAAGCACTTACACATATGGACAACCGTTTAGGTGCATATGGAAAATTAGCGGTGGTTGTAACCCTCTTGGAAACAGCAGGAAGTCTGCTGGGGAAACACGGGCTCTGAGGCTATACTGTGGATTTTACACATATGGGATCCACTTAGGTCTCTACATATGGAACCCATCCCTCTACCAGTTCTCACGGATTCATCAAGTGAGGGCCTGGCGCCGGACGCTCCGCCACGTCTGGCTGCCGAGGGGACGGAGGAGCTCGACAGGGTCTACGATATGGACTCTCTGGAGCGGTCTTAGCAAGCCGACACAAAGCCGGGCCTCTCAGTGCTTCTACCCGTTTGAGGTGAGAACACAGGAGGATACTGGCTCCACACGAAGGCTGTAGAATCTAGCGAACGTGTTGGGGGTTGCCCAGCCCGCAGCTCTACAAATATCCATCAGCGAGGCGCCCCGAGCCAGCACCCAGGAGGATGCAACACTTCTAGTAGAGTGAGCTCGCAACCTGAACGGGCAGGGCACACCCTGTGCCTGATAAGCCAGGGTGATGGCATCCACTATCCAGTGGGCCATCCTCTGCTTAGAGATGGCATTCCCCTTCTGCCGGCCTCCATGACTGACAAAAAGCTGGTCTGAGGTCCTGAAGCTTTGTGTCCTGTCTACGTAGTCAACTACCTGCTGGGGTAGGTCACTTAGAACCTCCGTGTCCCATCCAGGGACCAGACATGAAGTTTCCAGAGGTCTGGACGCAGGTGCCACAGGGTGCCTGAATCTGCCAAGGAGGGGCTGTCACAAGGAGCATCAGTTCCGGGAACCAAGTCCGAGTGGGCTAGTAAGGCGCCACGAGCAGGACCTGCTCCTCGTCCAACCTGATCTTGCACAGTGTCTGTGCAAGAAGGCTCACTGGGGGAAACACATACTTGCGAAGGCCCCGCGGCCAGCTGTGTGCCAGTGCGTCTGTGCCGAGTGTTCCCTCGGTCAGGGAGTAGAACAACTGGCAGTGAGAGGTTTCTGGAGAGGCAAACAGGTCTACCTGAGCGGCTCAGAAACGACTCCAAATCAGCTGGACCGTCTGGGATGGAGTCTCCATTCTCCCGGGAGCACAGCTCGTCGCCCTCCCCGGTTGCACGAAGTGACCTCAGATGCTTCTGACTCCAGAGGAAGAGGTGGCGGGCGAGTTGCGACATGCGACGGGAGCGTAGACCACCTTGTCGGTTGATGTACGCAACGGTCGCAGTGT